AATAAAATAACTTTTTTAGAGAATAGCATGATCCCGGGTTATCCCTTTTCCATACAGACACAAACTCAATTTCATATTCATCTTTGTATTCTATTCCATATCTTATTACTATTTTAGCATTTTCTCAGTGATTTTTCCCTTCCCTTAGTTTTCTCAACCTTGTTTTTAATTATCTCATTCCTTTCTAAATTCAATTACATATTTTTTCCTAAGTTTCACTATCTTTCTGTTCATTATGTTTATACTTTTGTCTGTCCTGTTTCAATTTCATATTTTCTTTTCTCATTAAACAAGTTTTCCTCTGTAGTTACTGATTGGAGTATGACACCTTTGTATCTTTTAATTTTTGTCCATTCAGATCTTATTTAAACTTCAATTTATGCCTTTACAATTATAACATTCAATATCTAACCTCTATTTTATAACACATAACTTTTGCCAATCGAATTCTGTTTGGTACATTCTTAAAATACACACTAAATTCTTAAATATAATATATATATATAAAACAATAATACATAAAATACTCATTCTATTCCAATTCGGCTCAACCATGAATGTTAGTTACAATCTTCCATTAATATTAATTAATATCTTTACCATTTCTTTTCAATTAAATATCATACTTCCTTAGGAACACTTATAATATTTCCATTTTTTTTCATATTTCTTTCATATTTCTCTTCATTTAAATTTTTATAAATCATTAATAACAACTAAAATGTTCCCATCCTTTCCTAATTTCATTCTCTCATTCTCTTTATTTCATTTATTAACAAACATTCCATTACAATAAGTATTTTATCTATCACTTTAATCACACTTGTTTTATATTTTCTGAATTCATTTCTATTTCTAATATAACAATACTATCTTATGTACCCTTGCAGAATCCTCTCTTTCAATTAAATTTTCACCCATTATCTCTATGTCTTCTAAATAGGCTTATACCTTTAATCCTTGTACATTTTCCCTGTTTCTCTGTATCCTGTTTCTGTCCTTTATAACTTCTTTTCCTTTCGTTCTTCCCCCTCTTCTTCCCCCTCCCCCTTTTGATCCCTTGTCTAATTCTAATTCTCTCTTCTGTAATCTTATCTTCTGTTTCTTCCTAGTATTGTAATTGCTTTTCAAACTTTTTGGGGGTTGTTTTTTCAAATCTTATTTTTTCACTCTTTCCCCCCTTTCCTTTTCCCCCCCACATAGAATTACTTGATCATTAAAGATGGCTTCTTCTTTGTCCCACCCTTCTTGTTCTTCAAGCATTTCTTGTTGTTTCTCATAGTTCAAGATCTCCATTTCTAAAAATTGAAATACAAAGTCAAAAAAAACCTCTTCCTTCTTGTGCATCTTCTTTCTATTTTTTAAGTTCCATTTTCAGTTCTTCCAAGAGTGATGCCATTTTAAACACTTTTAAACAACCACCTGATTGATTTTAGTCATTTAAATCCAATAACCAAAAATAAAAATATCACCAAATAATCCAAGGCTGTTTTTTCTTGTTTCCTTTTTCCACTTTCTCTTCCTGGGGTTCTATTATCCTGTAGGAATCTTGTTAAGGTTTATTACTTTTACTTCGAGGTGGTGTCCTCCATTTTTCCAGATCCCACCCTTTTTGTTTTTTCCTTTTCTCCCCTTTCCTTCTTTTAAAAGTTTTTAAATATCCAAGAAATCTTTATTATCCCTTTGACATTTTATTTTCAGCTTGAATGCCTATTAATGTTAAAGTGAGGTTTTTTTTTTTTCAATTTCATACTTAAGTCTCTTAGCTTTCAGTATGGGGAAGGAAAGAAAAAAAAAACCAAATCTTTTCCCTTCTCTCTCTCCTTCATCGCTTCAGAAATCTTCTTTGGGAACAATGTTATTCTTTATAGTTCAGATTCCAGAGTACCTTATGTTGTTGCTTTTTCAGTTCAACCCGGTAAGTCAAAGCTTTCTCTTCTTATCTTCCCCCTGCACAATGTTTTCCAGTCGAGTTCTTCTTTGAGGTGGCCATTTCTGACCACTGCTGCAACTGCCTTTGGGAAAGGGAGTAATGGCCAGTTGGGGAGGAGAGATGTGGCTCTCCTTGACCCTTCTGGGGGTCTCCCCCCTCTTCACCACCTCTACGGGATGGTTTTGCCCCAAATCCAGCCGGCTCAGGGTGCTCCGGCAGTGAGCACAGATCAAAACCACACACAATTGTGGATTTCGGTCCATCGCCGAAGAAACCCAAACTGGGAGTCCATTAAGGGTGCTTCTTGAGTTATAATTACAATTGGAACCAGAATTTCCATTGTAATCAAAATGGTTGTTAAATGAGTGATGTCCAATTTTAACTTTTTTGCTATAGTTAAGAAATCACTGTAATAGTTAAGTGGCTCATGTGATGATTAAGTGACTCTGGCTTCACTGATTGACTTGGCTGGGAAGGCCATAAATAGTGAATAAATGACTCTGGGCTATTGCAATAATTATACAGGCAGGGGTGGGATGCTATGGGTTCTGCCCGGTTCTAAAGAACCAGTAGCTCTGAAGAGCAGCAGACATGGAACCAGTTTTGTGTTTGCTGCTGTTTGGCCCACCTGCCCGCCCAGGCTTTTACCTGTCCTTTATTTCCTGCTTTTTCAACCTCAGCTGCTTTGCGTGGCACAGCTGAGGTTGAAAAAGCAGGAAAAAAAAGGCTTTTCAAACCCTGCGCACCTGCATGCTGCGCTTTTCAGCTGTCCAGGCGGCCCCACCTAAGGTTGTTTTACACACGCACACAACGTAGTCACCAAACCGGTAGTAATACCGATTGAATCCCACCCATCTAAATGCATGCTGGTTGCCAAGCGTGGGAATGCTGCAACAGTTTTAAGTGCAAGGATCAGTTGTGTCATTTTTTTTCAGTGCCACTGGAACTTTGACAGGTGATAAATGAAAGGTTGTATGTTAAGAACTACCTATACTTACATTTTCTTGCCACAGTACAGTAGAAAATGGATACAATTAGAGGAAATAGGTCTTTGGTCTCTTTCCAGTGTGGTATTGGCTGAAGATTTTTTTTCCATCGCTTCTATTCTCCCATTTGATGTTTTCCACCAATCTCTCTCCTTCCCTTGCTTCTTGTGCAGGTGCCGCTATCTGGTATGAAGCAGCTCTTATTGAGGGGAAGGACAATCAGCTCAAGTGCTGCTTCTCCAATGGCAGGGAAGCCATTGACTACAGAACTTCCTGCTGAAAAGCTGCTTCCCTCCCCAAATCCCAGGTTCAGCAGTTCAAGCTCGCCCTAAATTGTATATGCAGGAGCTGTTACACATGTGTACAATTATCCAAGTACTGATTCACTAAAGTTTCAGAAAGGGATCTACTGTATATGGTAAGTATTTAAACCCCATATATGGGAGCATGACATAATGATGCAGCCATAACTCTCTGCTGGGAGGCAGATAATATATATCATTCATGTTCTTTCCTTTCAGTCTTTTCCAATGTCTAACAAAGTACACTGTGAATTACAAAACTCATGCTGTTAAAGTCAGACTTTTCCCCAATTTTATTCAACATCAGTCACTCTTATAACTCCATAGCTTTGGTCTGCACATTAGATCTGACAGGGAAGCATTAATTAATTAATTATTAAAAACTATATAGCCTCTCAACTCACCTAGGTGACTCCAAGCAGTTCACAAAATGTAATGTTGCAAGATAATTTGTTTCATGCCACTTCCAATGGAAGATAATTTAAATCCCAACATTATTGGTCATTGTTACTTTTTAGAGCATGGTACTGCAAAAGTCATTCTATCCCATAATTACAGATTCACATCAGTTTGAGACTTTGTTTTCTTGCAATGTGGTTTGTTTTCCATGAATGTGGTTAAACCTCCAAAATACCATGTTCATCCATGCTATGCCAAAATAAGAAATATGGTTCAAGATTCCAAGATACAATAGTATCAGAGGTGGTATTCATCAGGTTCTGACCAGTTCTGAAGAACCGGTAATGGAAATTTTGTGTAGTTTGGAGAATCGGTAGCAGAAATTTTGAGTAGTTTGGAAATACCACCTCTGACTGGCCCCACCCCCATCTATTCCCTGCCTCCCAAATCCCAGCTGATTGGCTGGGTCTTCTTTTGTTGCCCTGCACAGGAGAATGGAGCTGGAAAGCAGGTTAGTGGGGTGGGGAGGGAATGGAGATTTTGCAGTATCCTTCCCCTGCCACCAAGCCATGTCCACCAAGCCATGCCATGCCCACCAAGCTATGCCCACAGAACCAGTAGTAAAAATATTTGAATCCCACCACTGAATAGTATGTCTAAACAACACACCTAGCCAGGCTAGTTACAAGCTTTGCAAGTTGATCTTAAGAGAACAATGTTGTTGTTTAAGCTTAGCTAAAACTTGTGCCCATTTGGATAGTTTGTGGTTCAAGGTGTTGCATAAACCCAGAACATGAGTCAGTTGTGAGGCTTCAGATCCCTGCTGCAAAAATCCAGATGCCCACTCCCAGTTAAAGATCATGTAGGGACCATTGGGATTTTGAAGCCAGGTTAAACAGTAGCTTGAGCCTTCTAATGAAATAACTAATTTTTGTAATTGCATTTGTAAGCCGCATCCCATACTTCAGCCTGCTAGATCAACAGAGGCAGAACATAATGTAGTCCAGTTGTACAAAACTGTCAAGTGTCCTTTCAACTAAGGTCACTTGCGTTGCAATCTTTGAATTCTTTTTGAGGAAAAACCTGAAAAGGCGCGTAAGTTTACTTGGGCAAGGATTTCAAGAGCACTTTCCTCAGCATTTCTCAACTAATGTTCTCCTTCCTCGGAACGAAAAATGTGACCGAGGGAGCCGAGAAATGGAAAATACCTTCCACCATTGCTCTTACAGGACAGAGTTGAGGAACTATATAGGTCCCTTTGTGACTTGAAGATTTCAACGTCCACAAGGTCCGCAGCTTCCCCAGACCTGCTGCTAACGAGCGCACAAGGCGGGAGGGAGGCGCCACGTCTTCCTGGAACTCCGCCCTCCCCTCCAAGGGCCTAGTGGGTTGTCCGCCGGCGGCCTGGCTTTATTGGGTTTTTCTCGCTCCTGGGCTTTTTGCGAAGTCGCCTTCACGACGGCTGCAGCCATGGTGCTCAACCCGGTCCTTAAAAAGCTGGCCGACAAAAAGGTGGTGCTGGCAAGCGGCTCCCCGCGCAGGCAGGAGATCCTCAATAACGCGGTGAGTGCGCGGACTCGTTTTAAATGGCCCTGCGCCGGGTTGATAGGGTCCGAAGAATTCCTTGCATTTCCAAAAAAATAATAATAATAAAAAATAAAGATTAAAAAAAAATCCGATCTAGGCAGAACGGCAGGATTTTTAACAATTACACGAATTGTTCATTACATGAACAAATACATTGTTCCGCACCTCTATCCCATAGGAAACGTGGCGGAAGGGCTTTTTTCCTTTTCTCGGCTCCCTCGGTCCCGTTTTTTGAGAAATGCTGAGGAAAATGCTCTTGAAATCCTTGCCCAAGTAAACTTACGCGCCTATTCAAGTCTCTCCTCAAAAAGAATTCAAAGATTGCAACGCAGGTGTCCTCAGTTAAAAGGACACTTGGCAGTGATGTAGAACTGGACTACATTATATTCTGCCTCTGTTGATCTAGTGGGCTGAAGTATGGGATGCGGCTTACAAACCTGCAATTACAAATCTAAACCGGTGAAAAAAGTTGAGAAAGCTTGTCATACTAGAGATATTGTGCGTACCCCCCCCCCCCTATAAATTTTCTTTTTTCCTAAAGGAGCTAATGGAAGATCAGAATAAGGACCGCTTTATTCTAAGTAATTGTATCCATTGATAGCCCATCTGTAAAGGAAGAGCATATACATAGACATGATGGCATCATGGAATTCATCAGATGTAGCCGTAGCCATCAATATAGTGGGATGTAAAAAGCTAATGAAGGGTAATGCTCCCACCTGCTCTTCCCATAAGTATGGGACACCTCTGAAATCTGAGGGACCCTCCTCTCTGGCATATAGTAATACAGTAAAGGGAACTGTATTAAATTTATCTCCAGCTTGTAAGATTCCCCAAAAGATTTGGAAATGGGACACTGCAATAGATAAAGTTTTAATCTGATTTCGAGAATGTGTATGTTGTAATGCCTTAATGCATGATGTGCAATACAGGTAGTCCTTGACTAACAACCCCAGTTAAGCCCAAAATTTCTGCTGCTAAATGAGACATTTGTTAAGTGAGTTTGCCCCATATTACAACCTTTCATGCCACACTTGTTAAGTGAATCATTACAGTTGTTAAGTTAGTAACGTGGTTGTTAAGTGAACCTGCTTTTCCTGTTGAGTTTGCTAATCAGAAAACCCCAGGACACCACAACCGTCATAAATATGAATCAGTTGCTGAACATCTGAATTTTGATCATGTGACCATGGGGATACTGCAATGGTCATAAGTGTGAAAAACGATCATAAGTCACTTTTTTCGGTGCCATTGTAACTTTGAAAGGTAATTAAACAAATGTAAATTGAGGACTACTTGTACCTTTGGTCTGACATGTGTAAAGAAGTATAACCCATCAAATCAGCTTATTGATCATATTTAAAAGATTGATTCAAGAAAAAAAAATATTTTTTGAGGATTTAAATAAAATTGTTTTGAAGTATATATGGCAAGGTAAGAAAGCAAGAATAAAGTTAAAGCTTTTACAGGATGCTAGATTTAGAGGAGGGTTTGGACTGCCTAATTGGGAGTTGTACTACCAAGCTGCAAACTTGACGTGGGTTAAAGAATGGATAACATTAAGGAAAACCAGATTGTTGACATTAGAAGGTCATGATTTGTTGTTGGGCTGGCATGCTTTTTTATGGTACAAGGGAACTAAAACACAGGGGTATTTTAGAAGGCATTATATACGGGAGTCTCTGTGGTTGAATTGGGAGAAGATAAAAAAACAGTGTTATTTGAAAATTCCAGTTTGGTTATCGACGATAGAAGCGTTTTCTTATCCTATAATCTATAAAAAGGAACAAACAGTTAACTATGGGGAATTATTAGATGAAAAGGGTGAACTTAAATCGATGCAAAAATTGGAAGAACAAGGTATACGGATGAATTGGTTTTCATATTTGCAAATATATTCAAAGTACCATGAGGATTCCAAAGCAGAGGGATTTTATGATAAGCAAACTGACTTGGATAAGATTTTGATGGGTACTGATGAAAAGGTGATTAAAAAATTGTATGGTTATTTATTGCAAATTAAGCTTGAGGAAGAACAAGTTAAAGAAACTATGATTGCGTGGGGGAGGAATTTTGGATATGGGATTGATTTAGAGAAATGGCAGAAATTATGGTCGCAAAATTATAAAATGACAATGTCTACAGCCTATAAAGAAAACTTGTATAAGATGTTTTACAGGTGGCATTTTCCCCCGACAAGGATAGCAAGAATGTTTAAGAACAAATCCGAAAAATGCTGGAAATGTCATCAGAAACCTGGTTCATACTATCACATGTGGTGGACTTGTGAGGATGCTAGAAAATATTGGACTAAAATCCACATGTGGCTGGAAAAAATGACAAAGAAGCATATAGACTTGAAACCGGAGTTTTTTCTATTGGGAATACTACCAGATACTTATAGTAAAGAGTTGAAATATTTGATTGTAAATGTATTGACTGCTGCTAGGATTGTATTTGCAAAAAATTGGAAAAATGAGAAAATTCCATTGCAAGAAGAAGTTGTAAAGAAAATTTTGGAATGTGCTGAGATGAGTAGATTGACTTTTGAAATTAGAGAGCAAGAAGATAAACAATTTTATTTAGTTTGGGATCTTTTCTATCAATGGTTGAATGATGAAATATTAAAATATAAAAGTTAGATAATAAGGAATAATAATGACTTTATTTTCCCTTTCCTTTTATTGGTTTTTGATACTATATTTATATAATAGCTTTCTTTGTTTCTTTCTTTTTCATATTTGGGATAGAATTGGTATGAGTATAAGATTTGTTTTAGAATAAAATATTTAAAATATAGTTATCTCATAAAGGCATGACCGAATAAAAGTTTAGTCAAATTTTTTCTTTTTTTTCTTTAATAGAGATACTAGGATTTATAAATTTGTATTGATAAGAGTATTATATAAAGTAACTGTAATTGTGACTATGAGGTGAATGCACAAAACCGATGGACCAACCGACTTACGGTGTGTACAAAAATATGGGGGAGCTGATACTTTTATGCTTTGTTGTTGTGTTTTTTATGTTAAAAAAATAATAAAAATTTATATATAAAAGAAAAAAAAATATGTCACAATGGCATCTACCTGTTACTGTTACACATGAGGAAAGAGATTCTGAAGCTAGTCATGCATAATGGTTATTAACTTCTGTGTTTTTGTATTCTGTTTTGTATTCTGTATTCTGATATAGGATACTGGCTCATCAACAATAAAGTTCAGTCATGTTCAGTAAATTTAGAGTCAAACAGACCCGGTAGCTATGTTCTGCCCTAAAACGTTTAATAGTGCTGGACATAAATATCACAGTAATGAACTGTTGTAGATGTTTTGGAAGGTAAAATGTTATGTAGCATAAATAAACGCAAACAAATGTAATGATTAGAAATGACTAAGTATTATAGTAGCACAAAGACCTTAAAATTACAACAAATGGGCTTTTTAATTAATATTTATTAATATTTAAGTGTCCAGGGGACTCTTGATGGTTTACAAATAAAAGATTTAAAAGATAATGTGAATATTTTCATTTAGCTAGATTTAAACATAGATTGAACAGGGAAGAAGCATGGCTGTTATGTGAAATTCAATTTGTCATGTGAAATTCAAGTCAGCAGTTTCTTAAACTTACTAAGATGGACAGAAAGAACATTGTGCAGACTTGGAATATGTAATTCACAGCCTCTGGTTTCCACTTTTTTGTAAGAGTGGCATTAAAGTTTTTTAATAAGCAGTAAAAAGATACAAATTAAGCTGAAAGAAAAATATTCCAAAATTGCAGAAAAAAGTTTAAAAAATGACAGACCGTAGTAGACAAAAAGAAAAGTATATGAGGAAATGAATTTCATAACAAGTATAATTTTAGTAATTTAACAGTTGTCATAAAATACAACAAATTATCTTTTTCCCATATCTCCTCTTTTTAATAAATTTTATTGCTTTTAAAATAGTAATAGAAAAAGCAAACAACAAAAGGAACAAAATTTAAAAAATATGTACATTATAAAAATACATAAGTGCTTAAAACTAAGTGGAAAAATACAAAAAAAAGTTCATTAAGGCTTACTACCACATATTTATTTTAGCCTTAGTCAAATAAGCCAAATTGTATTCCTTGTTTTTACTTGATCTTTAATCCCTTCAAGTTCTGTCGTAGAACTTGATTTCATTTTTTTCTCTGTCTCTTTTCACAAAACCCTTCAAAAGTTTAACAATGCTCTTTTGGAAATCAAATATAGAAAAGATTTTTCCAGATTGTTCTTTTGGTTTGTTATTATCCCATGTCCATTGTTCACAAGAACCCTTCAAAAACCTCTGCTACTAAAGTATTTTGATCCATTCTATATTAGTAAGTCAAATTTAAATATTCTTCTCTAATTATAATTAATTTCCTGAATCCTTCAAGGTTCTAGCATTCAAAGTCCCATCCTATTATACTTTTTTAAAGAACGTGTATTTTCCTACAGGAAGGTTTCCTGTAATTAATTTCAAAATCTTACTTAAAAACCACCTGGAAATTTAGTCCATTTGTAACTGTCCAAAATGAATGTTCTAATCACCCTTTTGCTGTTTATTTTAAAAAGTTTTATATTTTTAAAAAACTGAGGATGAAATATGGTGGGATTATCTCTATAGCTCTCAGGAGAAGCCTAGGTCAAAGCTGAAGTAATCTCAGCAAGTAAAAAAGCTTAATAGGCATAAGCTTTTGTGAGCCATACTTTATATATTGTAATACAATTTGTTAGCTGAAGAAGGTGAAATCAGACTTCTCAGGGTTTTTTGCCACTGTAAGCTAACATACCTATCCTTTTATATAAACCTCTCCTTTATATAAATTATAAGATGAATTTATAAAGATTACATGTTTAGATATGGTCCATCTTTATAAAATTATTTTATAAAGATTACATGGTTTAGATACAGTCCATCTTTTCTTCCCACTCTCTTTCCTTTAGTTATCTTGATGATAAAGAATTGTAGCCTAATAATCATATTGTATATTCTATTTTTCCCATAAAGCAAACATCACACAGCTACCTTTGCTGCTTATTTTCACTCAGTATGCTAAATTCACCAAGTAGTTAAGAAATCATCATTGTGAATTCATAAGGTGGATAATTCTCCTGTTTGTAACTGAAGAGCATCTAAATCAGGTTTCTAGCTAGTGAGTTGTTTATTTCTCCAATGTCTTCTATATGTAATTTGTGGGAATTAGTGAAACGATTTCCTCCTAAAACCTGAAACTTTTACCTTATTAATAATGTCTTTAAGCATGATTATGATTTGATTCAAGTTTAGCAAGAATGAGGCTTTATCATAATATTTTGTTTTTGAAGATCCACCAGAACATTTTGTTAACTGCTGCACTTTACTCAGTCTTTCTATTCAGACAGCCCTTACTTTCTGAGAGATTAAGTTTGCCTGCAGAGTAGAAAGATGAAATAGGAAAAGCTAGTATACTATATACTCCCGTTGCATCTGTGATGTTAGATATTCCAGATCTCAATCTGCAGTTCTGAAGAGGATAGTGTTAAGTTTATTTATATTCTATAAAATATAAATCTTGCATGATTCCACCCCCCACCCCCCAATTCATGCATTCTTTGTTTTGTACAGGGTCTCCAGTTTGAAGTTGTTCCGTCATGGTTCAAAGAAACACTTGAGAAATCAACCTTTTCAGCCCCGTATCAATATGCTGTAGAAACTGCAAAACAGAAGGCACTTGAAGTAGCAAATAGAATGCATGTGGTGAGCCTAATTCCATATTAAGGCTTTTTTTTAAAAAAAAGTTTATTGATGGGTCTTGTTTGTTTCTTGCAATGATTTATTTATATGTTTTTTTCTTATATCCCTCTTTTGGCATCAAATAACAGGAAAACTACTAGCCACTTTAGTAGAAAGCCAATGGTTGATATAAGGATGGGTGGAATAATGGGTCTGTCATTCACTTAACATGTGTTTGATTTTGTCCATAGGAAAATTGAATGTTTATAGCCAAGGAAGATATTGTTCACTATCACTATTTGTTATTAGTGCAAATGTATATTTGGCAGCCTGTTAAACATAAAACATGGAACTTGTGGATGAAATATTCAACTTGGAACAAAAGAAAATGAGCTCAAATACATGGAAGAGTTTAAGATATTGAGCCAGGATGAGGCCAAACCAACATTCAATATCCAATGTTCATTGTCACAGAGTGGCTCACCAGATTAATTTAGAAATATCATAAACATGATGAGAGGATGATAGCCCAATTTCTTTGGAGCTTTTTAATGAGGATTAATGTTTAATCTTTGACCCATCATCCATGAATTAATGTAGTACCCTTTTAAAACAATCAAGTAGTAATGGCCACCATATCATAGGGCAGAAAATTGCATAATTTAACTATGTGCTATATGTATAGATGTTCTCCTTCTTCACTACGTGAATCTCCCCATCTAATGTTTCAGTGGATGACCTTCAATTATAATAGTGTGACACAAAGATTTCTGTATTTTAAAACATATTTTAAAGCCCACATTTCTTTTGAAAAGACTTCAGAAGAAAATATATACCATCCAGACTTCTAAAATTGCAGAAAATCAGCTATTTATTCCCTGCTTCCCACCATTCACCAAACACCAATCAAATGCCTGGCCAGCTTACAAGTATCCACACTCTCACATTTGATCTTCTATTAGTGATTGGACTTGAATGATATCAAGATTGTTTTTATTGAATTAAGGTTGCTTTTTCTGCTTAATTTGTTATCTGTTAACATTCAAATTTATAGGAGCATTGATAGTCATGGAGAAAATTGAATAAAAGACACAGATCTTTTATGCTTTATTTTTGTTTTCTTTCAGAAACATCTTCAAACACCAGATATTGTTATTGGAGCAGACACTATAGTGGTGAGTATATGTATGCTGACAACTTTTAGGTTAGTAATAGTTGTGTAGGTCTATAATATTCCTGGGTCCATACACATAATAGAAATTTAAAATATCAGTTTTGTCTATCCAATATTAGTACTTTTAAAATTGTATTATAAAAGGGTTATTCTAGTATGGAAAATGGGTAAACATTTTACATAAACAGTCTGAGGATGAAAGATGCTGCAAGCGTGGTCAGGCAACTAAAGTGAAGGTCAGACAAATTTGGAAAGAATACTTCTCAGTGGGTTCTGAATGAAAAAGGCATGAGCAAAATGGAAGAAAGTCCAAACAGTGTGGTTTCCTGTTTTGTGAAATAAATGTTTTGTGAACAATTAAACTTAACAGTCTTTTTCCTGTGTGGTTTATCACTTTCCTTGGAAACAAAGTTTTTATACTACCATACTTTTCTCTGAGAAAAAAATGTTTACACTTCCCACATCTTTTGTCATTCATTTGCATTGAAATGTACCATTGTTGAGAACGAGGGGCATATATATATAATATATACTAAAAGAGATATTATGATAGCTATGAAAAATGTGATGAAATCAATGTGTCCTTTGATTTCTTCATTATGTTTTCATTCAGAAAATTCCACCACAAAAAGCATTTTTTAAAGTTGTGCTGTGGCACTTTGTCCTAAAGAGAATCACTTTTATCTAAAAGAAAAAACATACATTTGTGTTTGCAAAAGGTCAAGTCACAATGGGTAAAACCCCTTTTTTTGCTGCTACTGCTAATGAATGTCAATAATGTGTGGACCAATAGTCCAACTTGGTGTCAAGATAATTTCATAATATTTTTTAGCCGAATGAGATATACATAGTAATATGTATACTTTTCCATTTCAGAGTATAGAAGAACAAATTTTGGAAAAACCAGTGGACAAGCAGGATGCCTATAAGATGCTTTCCAGGTATATGCTTTAAAAATAAATTTTAATGCAAATAATGCTTTTATCAAGGCTTGGCCATTTGCAGTGTATTATTTTTATATTAGACTTTTATAGACACAAAAAACTCCAATTTTTTTTGTTAAAATACCATTAGTATGAGAGAAATCTAAACAGTGTAGGGTAGTACATTAGAGTTTGATTTCTAATCTCTATTTGCAGCATATTTATACTAATGTATTTCTGTTCATTTTTATACTTTTTAATTTTCATTTTAGATATTCAATGTATTATTGACAGACCTGTGTAGATTTGAAAGATGTTATGCTATTATACCAATGTGCTACATCAGTTCCAAGAATTGAATCCTTTTTGTTGTTGTAACTGTTAATTAGTCTGAAAAAACTACCATTACTTAGAACAGCATTTCTCAATTTCAGCAATAGTAACATGTTTGGAATTCAAGTCATAAAATTTCCACACATTTTAAATTGCAAGATTGAAAACACTGATTTATATTATAATTTAGCAGTCTGGATGGATGGACAGACGGATGATAGATGATACAATTCTTAATTGGCCAGATGTGATTGGATACAAAAGGAATTTGTCTCCATAAATCATAGGGAAGCAATAGCAAAAGGTAATAGGAAAGATGAGAAGATGAGAAAAGATAAGAAATGAGAAGATGAGAAAGTGAAAAAGATAATAGCAATACAGCCCTACTACATCTTTAGGCCTACATGCAAATATTGTGTTGTCCCATGTTCTACACAATTTATACGAACGGGTGTACGTACGTACGTACGTACGTACATACATACATACATACATACATATATATATATATGAGAGAGAGAGAGAGAGAGAAGCCTTATACCATAATATGTGAGAATGTATTACCATTTATATCTGGTCAATAAGGCTATGCTATATTATTCATAAATGATAGAGCATATCTCTTCATAAAGTTGTTACTTTAAAGGAAATTAATCTTTATTTCAAAATATGGCAGACTAATTTTCTATTCTTTTTAATAGATTAAGTGGCAAAGAACATAGTGTTGTCACAGGTGTTGCAATTGTTCACTGCAGTAGTAAAGGTAATATATTTGTGTCAGATCAATTTTCATTATTTGTACAGTTGTCCACTCTTTAGTATCACCCTGAGTCTAGAGATTTCAGGAATTAAGCTTATCTCTATTCAGTTGAAGTTCTGAAACTTTAACCCTTGGTTGTTGGATATATGTTCTACCTTTCTTCCAGGAGTTCAAGGTGGCTTAGAACAACATTAATTCCCATTTGTAAAAAATGATACATTGCAAGCATCCAAAACCAACAGATGACTTTTTCTAAATGGCATTATTAGGATCACTTGATATTCTCTGTTAAATCCAGGAGAAAAGGCCAACTGTCCTAGCATTTTAACTTGGGCGTAAAACATATCTTATGTTCTACATGTCATTCATCATGTGATTCTTTGTTAGGGAGGACATTTCCTAGTCATCTTTATTCATAGCTAAAAAGAACCAAGTAAACAGAACATAAATTCCAGATGTAGACATGTATTCCAGATGTAGACATCCCATAGATTGCTTTAACAATATTGCACTGTTGACAGTTTTATTTTTAGTACCTTTTCTAATAATTTCTAGCATGGAATTTTTTTTACAGATAGTGTCTAGAGACTATGGTGTACAAGTAAATCAATAAATACATAATGAGATATTCTGATATAGTGATCTTTTTAATTAATGAAACTCAATGCAGACCTCATCTGGTGGCACAGTGGTTAGAATGCAATACTGCAGGCTATTTCTGACTGCCAGCTGACAGCAGTTTGGCAGTTTGAGTCTCACCGGCTCAAGGTTGACTCAACCTTCCATCCTTTCAATGTTGGTAAAACAAGGACCTAGATTGTTGGGGGCAATATGCTGACTCTGTAAATCACTTAGAAAGGGCTGTGAAGCCTTATGAAGTGGTATATAAGTGTAAGTGCTATTATGATCTATGTGTGTCCGTTTGTAGAGAGAGAGTGTGAGTGAAGTTAGATCTTGTACTCCACTTTAGCAATAGCACTTAGACTTATATACCACTTCACAGTGCTTTACAGCCCTCTCTAAGCAGGTTAACAGAATCAAGCATATTGCCCCAACAATCTTGAGTCCACATTTTACCAAACTTGGAAGGATGGAAGGCTGAGTCAACCTTGAGCCAGTGAGGGTTGAACTGCTGGCAGTTAGGAGAATTATCCTGCAATTATACTGCATTCTCACCACTACACCACCATGGTTCTCTTTACACAAGGTGAACTATATTTTACCTTTGTTGATTCTTACATGATTTATTATGCTGAATTTCTTATGGTTAGAATATGTATATTTTAAATTTTCAGGAATCTTTTGACTTCAAATTATACACTTGAGTCAACTTGGAAAATATTTTAGGCTGATATTTAGAAATTGGTCTAAAGAGAAGTGGGTGGCACTTACCCTTAGGCCAAGTAAAGCATTTAAATCGACTGATTTTGGCTTAATTTTTTTTTAAGCAAATTTTATTGATTTTAACAACAAAGACACAAAACAAAACATCATTAAACATTAAAAACATAAAACCTCTTTCCATTATAAATCTTTACAAGGCAGGTAACACATTATTTTATATCACATTCTTCTAATTTATCCCATTTCCATATAAACACATAAATTCCCTTTAACCAATTTCACATTATTTCTCTTTACTCTTATTCAATAACCTTTCTTTTCTAATTTATCTGCTATTCAATCATCACATTTATATTTTCCTCTGGCTTGTTTATAGTTATTCTCATCTGGCCTTCCTCCGAGATTTTAATAATTCTCAATTAAACACACACATATAAAACACAAAAAACATAAAACTTCCTTGTAGAAAGTAACTTGGCCCAGATTACCTCTTTTTGTATGGACTTCAATTAAATACATGCTCTTCTTATATACCATTACCTATCTTATTTATCATTCTATATCTTCTATATAACTCCTCCCCACTTATATATTTCATCTTGCTTTAAAGCAACGTTTTTATATCTTTTGTCCATTTTCCCATTTACATCTATCTCATTCCCAATATAAAAAAGAATAATTTCTCCTGAAATCACTAATCAGAGTATGATTCCTTTCTATCATTCCCCTGAACTGAAATTTGAAATAACACCTAAGTCCCAATCTGATTCTGCTTAGTACATTCTACTATTTCAAAAACAAATACTACAGTAATAAATCTATAATAATCAACACATTAGCCCGTTAAACTCTATAATTAAACTAATATTTTAAACATTTCCTTTAATGTTTTATTAAAACTTAAAATCATTCATTATTAAACATTTTAACATTGTGCCTTAATATTTAAATCTTTTATTAAATCTTATAAAGTTCTAATTTTCTATTTTTGATACAAATACAGCTACTACAATACTATCATGTGTCCTATGCAGAATCCCCTTTTTTTAAAAAAAAAAAAAATCATAAGTTACCCCTTGTCCCTAAAAAAAATTTTCTTTTTCCCATCTTGTTTTATACCTTTATAACTTTCCCCCCACTTTTTCCTTTCTTTCTTGGCCCACCTAGACTTTTTACCTACTCCTGTCCAGACCTCTGCCTTCTTAGCTTCCCCTTTCTGTTGCATTCTTCTTTCCTTTTGCTTGCTGGCATTATATTGTTTTTGCATCTTATTTTTCTCTTTTATAGATATTTTTTTATGTCTTAAGACCTTCCTTTTCCCTCCTCTCTCTTTTCTTTCTTAATCACACTATTTAATTCATTAAAAATGGATTCTTCTTCCGCTTCTTCCAGCTGTTGTTTAAGTTGCTGACACATAGCAAGTGCCATATCTAGAAAACAAAGGGCTTCTCCCATAGCGTCCTTGCCTTCTTTCCTTATTTTTAAATATTGTTTTTTTAGTTCATCGAGAGGTGGAGCCATTATAAACTTTTTCTTCTTCTTTTTCTGTATCCTCTTCTTGAAACAATTTCCCGAAATCCCAAAGTCCCAAAGTCATCAAACAGCCCAGGCAAAGCACAAACTTCTTCCTTTTACAATTTCTCTTTCTGGGGTAAAGTCAATTAGGAAAAAAACCCAAACTGTATTTTAAATCTTTTTTGCAGTTTGCTTCTAGTCTTTTTATTTTCAAAGCATCTCCTCCAACATAGTCTTGAAAAGATTTTTTTTTTCCAAGCCTCTCCCTTCCCACTTGAAACAAAGGGCTTTAAATTTTTACCTTCTGTTAGAGAGCAGATTTTCCATGTCCATTTGTTAATTCCATAAGGGAGGGAGAGTAACTTTCTCTTTCAACATTTCCCTTTGCCGCTGGAAACCTCCATTAGAGACATTGTAGCATCCAAAAAGATAATAATTTTCCAGGCATTAAATATATCCTTAAGGTCCCGGTTCAGCCAAGACGACTTTCATTTTAAAACTTCCTTCTTCTTCCTCCTGCACATTCTTAATCCAGTTGCTGGCTTCTTCGTGGCGGCCATTGAGACCGCCACTCCACCGCCTTGAGAAAAGGGGGTTATTGCCGGCTGGGGAGGGGGTCTGCGATACCCCTCAACCCCTATCCGGGTCCCCCCTATCTTCAGCTACCCCAACAGGGCAGCCTTATCCTCCAAATCCGTCAGGATCGGAGGCACCAAGACGGCTAGCACAGCAGGGATCGCAGAGAGACGCGAATCCCTGCTGTCACCGAAGCCAGGCAAACAGGAAGTCCCTGATTTTGGCTTAATTTTTAAGTACTTCCACTTGCAAATTTCAGCATTCAGAACATTTCTAGTTACTGTGTGGTTAGATTTCCAGATATTTGGGAAAGGTGGACACAGTAACTTTGAATCCTTTCAAGCAGGTAACTTAGTTGGCAATAAAACAAACCTTGATATTATTGGATAATGTGTGGCATTAATGAGAATCACCAATACTTATATAAAACAGTCCTATACAAATTATTTAAAAATACAATGCAGTGAGACATCTTGGCAAATGTATGTAGAAAATAGCTTGAATATTTGCTAAAGTATTGGGATTAACTCCAAATTTCAAAATTGGTGTTTACAGCCCACTTAAATACCATTTAACCCAAGATATACGTCTTTGTTGATTTAAATGAACAAGTAACTTGAAAAACTTAATTTGCATTTTCTATTCAAAAGTTTTCTATTTTGGAGATGAAACCATTAAATGATACTATTAAATGATACTATTACCTCACTAAAGATATATTTTTTTTGGAACATGTTTCTGTATTATAGCAATTTAGTTTATTATGTTTTGCTACTGCCTTCCAAATTATAACAGTTCTGTGCTGTTGATAATGATAGGACATTATTGACTGAGAAATTATGAAACTATTTCCAACAAATTGGATCCAGTCTGGAAAGAGAAAGTAATTATGAACTAGGGAATCTAGCATTTATACTCAAGCACAAACATATATCTTTATAGGATTGGTGAAAACTCATGTTTTGAAACATTTTGAATGTGAAATTTGACAAAATGTCCATTTTTAGTGCAGATGTACTGCTTAAAGCTTCTTGAAAGCTTTTTCAAAATGCTTACAACATCTTGCTTTGTGGACTACAGATTGTGAAGACCAGAAGTAAGTCATCTTGAGTAGTAGCTCATCTTGATGTTATTATCCAATATATTATTGGTTTTATCCATACTTCTGCATTTTTAGATGATTATCTAGACACTGAAATCACTGAGTTCTTTGAAGAAACAAAAGTCAAATTTGCCGAACTCTCTGAGGAACTTCTCTGGGAGTATATCCACAGCGGTGAACCAATGTAAGTGCAATATAAGTTTCACTGCATTGGTCTAAAAACTTACAGCATTAGGAAATTCAACTTCACAATGTCAATAAATATCAATGGCACTGAAATATTGTATGAATTTGAGAATGTAGCATAATAAAATTTTCATTTCTATACTCACAAATTGAGATTATCAGCGGTACCATTTTCAGAAACTGTATTAGCATAATATAGTGAAGTTTATAAATCAGCTGTGAATGACAAAGTGAGCCTGAAGTTCATTTGATTATTATGTTTCAAAATTGCTACAATAGTATTAGCAATTAGTGTGTTCATGTACATGTTTTTATTTTTCAGGGACAAAGCTGGTGGATATGGAATCCAAGCACTAGGAGGAATGCTGGTGGAATATGTTCATGGAGATTTCTTGAATGTGGTTGGGTTTCCTTTGAATCACTTCTGCAAAAAATTAGGTGAACTGTATTATCCACCATCAAAGCACACCATACATCATATAAAATATGACTCTATCCCTTCAGTGGAGACTTTTGAAATTCTAAGTGACGGAGACTGTGATTCTTCAGATAGTACAAAAATGGAAGATGCCAAAAGGCTAACAAATGGTGGACTTGTAGAATTGGGAAAATGCAAAGAGAGCAAGATACCTATGGAAATTCAAAATGGAATACCAAGAAATGTAACACAGTGCCTCTCTAAACTTACGCATCTTCTGGATGGATTTAAAGGCTCAAAGGTAATACATCTGTTATTTGGCCACATGGATTTAATTTTTATTATGCAGCATGGACTATAACATTTCTTTGATTTGTAGTAGCATAAATCATTTGAGCTGTGGAATTCAAAATTTCCCTTTAAATATTTTTCCTATATCTGTAGGTTTTGTTTGTGGCATGTAAGCTGAAAATATTTGATCTTCTTAAAGATAGGAGCACTGTGACCACAGAAGATGTGGCAAATCAACTTAATACTTCCTTACGTGGAACAGAAAGATTACTTGATGCCTGTGCTTCTGTTGGTCTGTTGGAAAAGAATCATCAAGGTCATATTTTATTCTAAAATTACTCTGGAAGGAAAGTGTAGAATAAATTGAGTACATGATATCCTAATGTCATCCAAATGTAATTAGAATACTAAGTACAGTAAACCTATACATAATTTAGGGGGGAAAAGGTACATCTGGAGAAAAATGAACTTTCAATGGCCTTAGAAAAAGCCCACCTTAGCACATAACCAGTTGTGATGCTGAATTAATTACCTGGTCTCTAACTTCCCTTAAAATTGCAGCCATGCTGGGAGGGAAGGCAACCTTAATTTTGAGGCATGAAAAGAGTTTTCTGTTTTAAAATGGTTTATCGAATGTTCGTTGTGTTCCAAATTCAAATTATCCATTTTCGGGGTATTAGCGTGTTTATAAGTGATGCTTAGCTTTTTGAGATTGTGCAGAAGGAATTCTTTATGGATCATTCTGTCCTTTGGGGAAAAATCATTGCCACTTCCTGAGTATTTTCTTGTTGGTATCTGCAGTCTATTGCATTCAAACTGTTTATAATAACTCCATTTTAAAGAACCATGCATTTTAGATTAAAAAAAAAAATTATTTAGTGTTTTTTAATGGCAAGGAGATGTGCAAACTTTAATAAGCAAAGATAATTGCTTAATTACATACAGTCATAGTACTTGATCTGTGAAGAAACAATGTTAAATTTCTGGAATTTGATGCACCATTTTTTTTAAAAAAATATGTTGTGTTTGTAATTCATATTTGTAATTTTTAAAAATGTCTTTAAAGGTTACAGTAATGCAGAACTAACAAATCTATGCCTGGTATCCGATAGTGAATATTCACTTCATGACTACATTCTTCATTGTAATGACCACCTGTGGACTTTGTTTACTCATTTGGAGCAAGCAGTTAAAGAAGGAACTTCACAGATACATCAAACATCTGAGAAGAAAGTGAATGATTTGTTTCAGGTAGGGAAGAATCTAGTTATTTTTTAATGAAGGTGAACATTTTAAAAAAGTAGAACTTAAAAATAAATATAAAGCTTACTAGGCATATTTTGCTATAATTTTGTTTTTCTTTCAACTTTTATTTTTTAATAGCAGTCGTAAAAGAAAATACAAATTGAATTAAATAGTAAAAATAAAAACAAAATAAAACATATACAAAAAAAAGAAAAAAATACTGTTCAGTCTTAAGCACAAGTGCAAACAATAATTCATCACTCCCTATAACATTACATGCAAAATACCTCTTCACATAACCCATCCTTTATGCATACATAAACCTGTACATCATTAACATTTCAGTCGTGTCAGCAAAAAAGGGTCCTAGATTTATACAAGCATGTCTTATTTTAAACTTGATTGAATCAACCAAATTTGTACTTCTTTCTTCTTTTAACATTAATCTTTAGTTTATGAAGATGTTGTAGGATTTGATCTCTTCCATTTTTCTATCTAAAAATTTCTTCAAAAACTTTAACCAATTTCTTTTGTAAGTTCAATAATGGTCAATTTCTTAATGTTATTTAAATTTCTACTTTAGTTGTATTATTTCTTCTTATATTCCTAACTTTTTTGTTTTCTAGTACTTTGGCTAATCCGTTATGTACTCATATTTCTGTATCAAGCAAAATTTGTTTCATCTCTCTATCTTGTCAATCTTCCAAAATATTCTCTTTTGCAACAGTATTTTCTCCTTTAATATTTTTAGACACAATCTATTTGTAGAAGCAATCATCACTGAAGTTGCTATTTTTTGACCCCATTCTTTAAAAATCTTTTGAAGTATCTCAAATATCAAGCATTTTCTGTTATTTTGCAAGTTTCAGTGCTGACTAGTTTTTCACTCTTTCTGCCTGGAATCTGTAACCCCCTCTAGTGTTCTGTTTCTGAAACCATAATCTCTCAATTTGCTATTTTGACTTAAGGTAGACTAAACAGATTGGTTCCCCTGAATGTGTTCTTCATTTATATAATTATTTCCAAACTTATAACAAAAGTCCTAATGCTCCATTATTTCAAGTTTTGTTTGATCCCTTAATTCATTTATAACTTTCTTAAATCACTTTCTTATTTAGTTCTTTGCTGTTTATTTCTAATTCTTTAAGTTCTTAAGCTTATGATAAATTTTTATTTAAGAAAAAGTGTAAACTCATCAAGTAAATTTACCAAGGACTTTTCAAACTTGTCATTTTGAAGATTTCTACCAATATTAAGGTAATTCTCAAAAGTGAATTTAAGGTAATTCTCAAAAGTGAATTTGAAAGTGAGCGAGCAAATTCAGTGTCCTTAAAAGATCCAGCACGACTGAGAGCAGAATGGTTTTCTTCATCTCTCAGCATTGAAACTTTCAATCTTGCAATCTCTCATAAGTAGCATTTGGCAGGTGTACCAGTGGATGTCCCGTCTTCTCCTTAGCCGGGGTGGTTCTGTGGGATTGGTCAAGACTAGTACAAGATTATCCTCCATAATAGAGACTTATCTCCTCAAGAAGGACATTCCACAATTATTATAGTCCCGCTGGAAAATACATACATTTGCCTAATTCATATCTGATTGGCTGGATGATGATCACAAGATAAGATCTTAAAATATTTATTCTGGTATAAGATCTTAAAATATTTATTGTGCCCTGGGATTCGAATCATTAATTTTCCATATGTCATAAAAATAGTGTATTGTATCTCTATTTTACTTATTCCTGATATTTTTCATACCAAATTCACTAACTTTCCCTACCGTGATTCAGAGAACAGAATATTTTTTCTGTATATAGGATATTCTAAAATGTATGGCATTCGGCTTTGTTCGGGTATTCTAAAATGCTTTAATTAAATGTTCTGTAATTTTAAGCAATGTAATTTACTTGGTTGTATAATTTTATCACTGCTTTACAAGTTAGCCAAAGGAGAAACCAAACTGTTTTAGGTCTTTTTACAAAATACACATTTTAACATGTCTTTATCTACTTGTTTTGTAATCTCACTTTCTTTTTTAAGGATTTCCACTGTCAGTCTGTAGAGGTAAAGCAACGTTTTATAAGAGCCATGGACAGCAGTTCCAAAGTGACAGCAAGAGACATAAGCACAGCTTTTGATCTTTCACAATTCAAAGTTGTATGTGACTTGGGAGGTATATATTATAACATTACTAGCCCTATATATTGACATAAAATATTCTAATGTACAATTGTGATTAAATGGATAGTTTTGTAAATATTATATAACTTATCTTAAGTACAGGATTTCTTTTTACTATTTCAGAGAGATAATGTACAGTCAAAAAACTGTTTTAGATTAATGTCTTTGTGTCCCTGTCTTCAAACTTAAATGTTCAAAATTACATAAGAGATGGAGGTAACTTCTTGTACAGCAAATGCTATTGTATCTGGTCATGGTGCATAATGCCCTGATAAGATTTTTTCCCATCATGTTTCCATACTATTTTCTTCAGTCCCCTGGGAGAAAAATTTAATTTATTCCTGACTGTACTAATATTAAAATAGTGTCCTTTCAAGGTATATAAAATCTGTCACCCATTAACTAGAATAGAAATCAAGTGATTGGGAAGAGAAACAGACAGATTAGGATCAGTATAGGGTCAACAGATATAACACCAGCATAATTTTATGTCAAACGAAGAATTTGAATAGTTCTTGTAAAGCTTAATAATTGTTTTTCTTCCATCCAACCAGTAAAAATGAATATAAATTCTATGGGAGATCTTGCAAATACAACGTGCATTGTATCTGAACTTCTTCTTTCCCATCTTTTCTACATAACACAATGACACAGAGCACTAAAATAAATTTCTGTATTCTCTCTGCAGGTTGCACCGGAGCTTTAGCTTATGATCTAGTCCAGATCTACCCAGAAATGCAAGTCATTGTCCTTGATCTTCCTGAAGTTATTACAGATGTCACCAGCTGTCAACTTTCAAGACAAAATGCTTGTGATGTATCCTTTGTATCAGGTAAAGGTGTTTTTGCCATTTGTAGACCTAACCAAGGCACTGGTAATCCAAAGACTACACGAGGATCTGTAGTTTTATGTGGATTAGTGATCTTTTCTGCAAAACTTTGGTAGACTTGGCCCGCCTTATATTTTAGTAGTAGTGCATAAATAAGAGCTCAATAAAATTCCAATTATCTCTGCAATAAAATGTTAATGTATGTGACTGTAAATGAAGCTAACTGGATTTGTTTAACAACTTAATTCTAATGAAAATATTAACCAAAATATGCATTACATTTTTTATGTTAGTAAATTGCTTAGCCTGATTTTTGGCATCCAGAAATTCATGGGAAAATGATATGACCCGATCACTTACATTTTTTGAATCTATGCACATTATGTTAAATATAGCCCTGAGCTTTTTTAGAATATTATAAGAATAAAATCTTTTCATTCTTCCATCCAAAAAGCTGGGTCTTTTCTGCATATATTTGAAGTGTGCTTATTTATATATTTTAGTCTATTTATATCTCATGTTTCATTTTGTTTATGAAGTTTTTCAGCTGAAAATGTAATCATTTTTGGAGAGAACTAATGAAAATATATTTTCATTAAATAGGTGATATTTTCAAAGATAATATTCCAAAAGCAGATCTTTATATTCTTTCAAGGGTTTTACATCATTGTTCTGAGGAAAAGATTTCTCTGCTATTAAACAAACTCTCTGCTCTTTCAGAGCAAGGTAAGAGTTTAAATCTCCCTCCTCCTATATTAATTGATTTATTGGTTTTACATTTATATAACTGTATGGATGATGTTTTTCATTCAATTAAACAAGGGATTTGAAAGCTAATGTTATTAAGACAAACTGAATTGTAGCTAATCTTTAACGTGGAAGTATTTTGTTTAAAACACTTCACAAACTTCAGTCTCTAAGGATTCAGGGTACAACTAATTATTGCATCCAAAACCCATAATTTAACAGATAAAGTTTTAACATTTTTTTAAAAAAAGTAAAAACAGTAATTCTTGTTGAAAAATAACATTCTTGCCTGAAACTGAAAAGAAAATCAACTTGGGCTTAAGGAGGGTTCAAGTTTTGAAGGAATCCCACAGCAACAATTCCTGTGCTTAGAATATATACTTCTGTCTGTTGTCTAGCCTGCCTTTGATAATGTAGGCACTAGAAGAAAAGCTTCTGTAGAAAACCATAAAAGCATGAAAAGGCATTCAAGTATTTTAGTTCCAAGCCATTTAGCACTTTTTACAAAGTCTTGGGTTGAAACCAAAGCTTGCAGTCCTTGGATTTATCAGCTGATCACTGGTAGCCATCAGCTGAATCTTGGTAGCCATCAGCTGAATCTTCAGAATGTATTTCCAAAATAGTTTCATATATAATATCTGGTTAGGGTAATTTATCCTGATTAGCTGATTTTTGTTTTTGTTTTAAATATAGGAATTGCGCTGCTAATAGCAGAGATAATTCTTGATGAAAAGCGAATAAAACCTGCTAGAGCTGTTTTCCAGTCTCTTAGTATGACAGAAGGCAAGGAAAGAAGTACATTGGAATACAAACAGTTATTAGAAGAACATGGATTCAGTAATGTACAGATTAAAATAACAGGAAATCTGCTAGATGTAATTTTGTGCTCTAAGAAACTATCTTCCTAGTACACTAAATAGTATTGAATTTATTACTTCAGCTTTCCAGAATACTATGTTTCTATTTCTGATTTTGGTGTCTCTGAATTACAGTGGACAATTGCATGTAAAAGCTATTCCACTTTTTATTATTTGTTAAAAACTGCACTAAATGTAATTTTCTCCTGAAAGGTCCTGGCTGTTGTTGTAACTAATAGTAATTATAGCATTAAATCATTTCCCCTCCCCCCCCCCCATTACATGTTCTTTCTAACTCAGGGTCTAATGTAATCCAACAACTTTTGTATGCATCAGGAGGTATACAGGCAGGCATCAATTCTATAGTCCAATGGCCCTATTTTGTAACGGCAAAATCCAAGAAATATTATAAGAAAACATAAAAGGAATCTACTCTCCCACCATTTTTTTCTCCCTCCCTCTCCCAATATACACGTTTGTTGATAGTGATTACGTTTATTGCCACGTGGCAAACTACATGTGATAGAATATGCATCTGCAGAAGCCGTGGGGGAGAATTTTGGCCACAGAGCTTTTCCAGAAAGAGGCTTAGATTAAGAGACTGCAGACCTCAGCTGGTGGAGGGAGTGGGAGAAACAAGTGATCCGTGGTAGTGCAGGGATTAGAATGCAGTATTGCAGGCGTTAGGCAGCAGTTCAACTCTCACAGGCTTAAGATTGACTCAGACTGAAGCCAGTAAAACGAGGAGCCAGATTTTGGGGGACAATAAGCTGAATCTAAACAGTTTAGAGGGTTGTAAAGCACTGTGAAGTAGTATATAAGTCTAAATGCTACCAGGATAGACACATCCTAGAATATCTCTAAGCAAATAAAGGATTGGAATTAGTTGGATCTTGTTATCTCATCTCTGGGTTTGTGCCTGATACATGTTATGACTAGAAAAATGTATTTTTTATTTACAGATTAGGAGCACTAAGATTATAGTGGTTACTATGATTCATTATCCATAGTGACTTCTGAATTAAATACAGATGTGTACAACTTCAGGAACAAATGATTGACTTCAAGCTTACTTAAACATGCCAAGATTCTGAACATATTTTCAAATGAAGATATTAAACATTCAGATTCTCAGTCTATATTACCAGTTGTTTCTGCAGAATAAAAAACATAACTAATTCACAGGCTACTAAATTACTTTACAATTCCAGCACATTTGCTGTTCTTATGCACAATAGGACTCTATTCTGAAGTCATACTTCTCTGTGAACACCTTTCCATTTGTAGATAATTCAACAGGCAAAAAAAACAAACATGCAAACTAGAGACAGTTGTGCTATAATTATTCTTTGCCAGGTTACCTAACCTATCAGATTCTACAATCCACTGTTAATCCACTTTGCCCTGAACCTCCCCTGATGGGAGATACATTTTTTGCTATATCGCCAAGAACAGCCAGAGAAGGAAGCAGCTTGCAAGCAGTGCCACTTTTAACTGGACAAAAGTTGTGGTGGAGATGAAGATGGCCCTCTGGAGTCTGATTGCTAAGGAGTGCTGTTGAGGATTCTTTCATTTTCATCTCTGGTCAGATAATAAAAGAAAAGCTGGGGAAGTCTAGCCATTATTTCTATATAACGTGTATTTAAAGATTAGTAAACAAGAATTTCTGAACAGTGACAATAGCACAGTACTTGGGTACAGGTAGCTATACAGTTAAGACCAGAATTGTGGACATTGAGTGAAACAGTCATTAAATAAGATGGCCACATGCTTGCTCTCAACAAATGCAATCCTAGCACTCCTTTGGCATTGTTAAATGATCTTGTGAGTTAAGTAGATAAGAGTCTCTGGTAAAGCACAGGATGCCTTGGGGCTGGGGAAGAGACCCAAGCTCAGGAATTGAAAATCTTCCCTGCCAAACTCCAAGCAGTATCCAGCTAGAGTGAAGAGACATTCACATCTGGCCTGTGCCAGGATTCCCAAGGCCTACCCACCTGCCAAGGGCACACCATGCTTCCTACTTCACTAAGCTACCTTTCACTCTGCTTTGACTTTGGCTCTCTCTTCTTGGGGGCTGGCTGAAAGAGCTGCTTCTCAAAGGACTTCAGGTCCTGTCCAGATTTTCACCTGGCAAGCCTTTTCAGAGTTATAGAACAAAACACCAGTGGGATTTTGGAAGATTTTGTCAGTTTATTAACAGATAATTCATATTGAATTTATGCCCATTATAAAGAATTCACGGAGTTGTGTGGATAGGATAGGTTATCTGGTTGGTCAAGGTTTTCTTTTTAGATGTAATGCCAGAGAAAGAATAGAATTCTGAGTTTATGAAGTGCATTTTCTTGTTTATTTAGGATTGGCATAAAGTCATCAAGAGTAAAGTTTGAAGGCGGCTATATTTCTCTCTTTGAACATGTTTAGTTTACACTTTTTCCTGAGGGTACAAAAAGACTTCCTAACCTATTTTAAGACTGGATCTAAAATCCAATTTAGAACTCTCTGGAAGGCCCGTTTGAGTTGGTCCTGCATCAGAGTGAGAAAACTTAATAATGGAGAAAACACACCTGAAATATGTTAAACTGGATTAAGTGCAAGGTTTTGAGTTTCATATCTATAAAAACCATTTTTTTAAAATGCCCATATGGGCAGTGAACATAGAGCTTATATGATATATAATCTAGGAAAAACATAGTTTGTCTATGCAAAAAAAGTCATTACAAAACAATTAGATCAAGAATCAAACTTGTTATAAGAAGTCTTCTCGGATGTTTCCAATGTTTAATTTTTCAGCATGTACATAGCTCAAATAAAAGGGAATACAAATTAACATTTACCCAATACATGAAAATTTGAGGCCATTAACAACCCTACTCTGTAGTCTAGTCACATGGTAAGATCAGTTACACCACCGAAGGAAGCATCACAACATTAAGTATCAATGAGCCAAATTTCTCTTTAATCACTCTGACTAAAGACTTGATTGTGATTGGTACAAAGAATAATAAAATCAAATAATTGTGATGAAGTACAGGTAGTCCTCAAGTTATAACAGTTTGTTTAGTGACTATTTGAAGTTACAAAGGCACTGAAAAAGATGACTTACGACCATTTTTTACACTTGCAATCGTTAAGCATCCCCATGGTTACATGATCAAAATTCAGACCCTAAGCAACTGGCTTAATATTTATGATAGTTGCAGGGTCATATGTTCCCTTTTTACAACCCAAGCCAAGTCAATGGGGAAGCCAGGTTCACTTAACTGTGTTACCAACTTAACAGTCATAAAATGGGGAAAAACTCACTTAACTGTCTTGTTTAGCATCAGAAATTGGTTGTAAGTCAATAACAATCTGTAGATAGTTTAGGTTAATTTTACCATGAATTTTACCATGGTAGACAATTTTCAGCGTATTTCAATAAGTGGTCTTACAAAAAAAAAAGCAGTGGGTTGCAAAAAGTTACTACCATTTGTCTTAATTACCTACGGTATTATTTTCCAGTCTTGAAATCTGTTTTCAACAGGTAAACACTTATTTTAAATTGAAGACAAAGTTAAAGATGAAACTATGTTATGGTTTCAATAAATTTAAGACTTTAATTGGGATTCCCTTCTAATTCTTCAGCAAAACTTTGGTGCTCCTCCAGCTCCAAAATTCTTTTTGAAGAAATTGCAGATTAATTTTATTCACCAAAGGCTAAATCTTGGTAGGGGGATTTAGTATTAATTCAACCTATGGCTCTCCTGAACGCTGCATTAAGATAGCACAGGAGAAAGATAAGGAAAATAAGATAAATAGGAATGATTTCTGTAAATATTACTGAATGTTTGAACTGTCCCAGTTGATGGAGAAAACAAATTCACTATCAGAGTAGAAATCTATCTATGTAGCAACTAATAGCTACAAGGTAAAAAGAAAATAACCAATATTTGTAGGACTTTACAAGGGACCGGAGTGGCTCACAAGCAGTACTGTAACGTTGTCACATTCCGTTACTCTTGCTATTATCCACTTTATTATTTGAGGTTACCAACAGCAAGCAATCTAAGGATCAGCTCAATAACCGACTCAAATCGAAGGGCTCATAATGAAACGGTTAGCGGGATGACTTTTCGAATCGGTTTCGATTGTAGTCACGGGATATCAAAGGCTGACCTGGAAAGCAAACCCGAATGCATCCAATGTACCGTTAAAAATAAATGTTAGCCGCCGACGCCGCTACTCGTAATGTCGCCGCAGGCAGCAAGTCTCTGGAGCTGCTTCCCGCCACCCCCCCGGATTATCTCGGCCGGGGAAAGGCGCCTTGGCTTGCCTTCCACGTGGCTCAAAATCCTCGGCTTCCTCCCGGGAATGCCTGGGGTGGAGCAGGACCGAAGAGAAACGCAGCCGGCCGGCACAGCCCGCCTCTCCTCGTCGGGCCCGCCAATGGCGCCCAGCGGGCGGAGCTTCCCCAACCGGCCATTTAGCTCCCGAACAGAGGCAGCCCTTCCCTTTCGCTGTCTTGCGCTGCGGCCGCAACGACAGAGCGCCCCGTTTCCCAGCCCCTCCCTTCGGTACCACCCGGCGGCTCCGATCTACTACTGCGGCCATGGCAGAGCAGGCCATCTCCTTCGCCAAGGACTTCCTGGCGGGCGGCGTCGCTGCGGCCATCAGCAAAACGGCGGTGGCTCCCATCGAGCGGGTCAAGCTCTTGCTTCAGGTCAGCCCGCCGAGCGCGTGGCCGGCGGGGGAGGGGAGAAGCTCTCGGGAGGTGTGGGGGGGGAACCTCCGTCCCTCCACGACCGTCGGCTATATGGAGCTCGCAGCGGCTCTGCTGTAGGGACAATGGGGGGAGGGGAGGGGGCACCGCTCGCTCCGCGTGGCGGGCGCTGTCAAACCAGTTCCCTTCCGGGAGACTTTGAGGAAGTAGCCGGGACGGTTGGAAAACGGGTAGAGGAATCCAGGAGGGGAAGACGTCGACTCGCGTTCGCATCCCTCCCCTGCTCGGTTTCCCGCTAGCTCTCCTTTGAGTCGGAAGAAAGGGCGGGAACAAGAGAAGAGGTCGAACGAAGGAAAGTGAGAACCGGCCGCCATTTTTCTTCCGGCGACGTGTCTTTGATTGACAAGGCGGCGGACGTATAGGTCCCGAGTAAACGGGGAGAGGATGCGGTGGGGCTTTCGCCTCTTCCATCTCGCGTGACTTGGCAGAAGCGCAAGGCTCTGCGGAGTCGGCGAGAGGAGTGACGTTTCTAATGCGGCGGTTGGATTAGCCCCGCCCCTTCGCTGCCTAGACGGTGGTTTCGGTGCCTGCTGGTCTCCGATTTGTATCTTTAAATGCTGTTATTTCCCGGTTAGGAGAGCCGAGGAAGTATGTGAGCCGTAGGAAATTATTGTTATCCTCTTTTGCAGGCCATTCTTTTTTCTTGTTTAGTAAGCCGACGCATCGTTCCATGCACTTACTCTGTGAATTTATTGAGTTTGTATGGCTGCATATTCACCAGGCGAATATGAACTGCTTCCAAGGGTCAAATGAAAAAGGATAAAATAACGAATGAAAAAGGATAAAGTAACAAAACAATAAAATATTCTGAGTATTTTTGCAACCTGCATCAACAGGAGAGTCATACATTGCTAGACCAGTGGTGGCTAACCTTTTTGGGCTCCTGTGCCAAAAATTATGTGCATGCTTCCATGCCAGCACCCAGAAAGCAATGCATGCACTCCCCCAAGGCCCCTGTGCACCTGCACACAATCCCCCCCTGCCATCCCCTTACCTGCACTGCACCTCACAGCTGATTTGAGGCCTTTTTCAGCCTCCCAGAGCCTTGAAAAAAGCCTCTGCAGGCCGAATAACACACCCATTTTGTCATTTCTGGTATTACAGGAAGTGATGAAACGGACCTATTATTCGGCCTGCAGAGGTTTTTTTCAAGCCTCTGGGAGGCCGAAAAGGGCCTCAAATCAGCTGAAAAATCAGCTGTGAGGCACATGCATGCGCAGTGAGGTACGTTTGCTTGCAGCTGGCGTGCTGGCACAAATGGCTCTGCATGCCACCTGTGGCACAGATGCCACAGGTTTGCCATCATGGTCCTAGACTCTAGAAAGGCATTTCAATATTGAAATCAGGTAAATTTATTTAGATGTTGGTGTCTTTTAAAAATTCTTAAGGGAGGAATGTGCAGAGAAATTTTTAAGGGATTTGGAAAACATCTGTCCTGAAATCTTGGAAAACATTGACAGTATCAATAACAATGGACTAGGTAGATGAGTGGTTTCATTTGCTATATGGCAGCTTACTATGTCTTACTACAAGGTTACAGTTACAAAGTTTATGGTTACTACAAAGATATTAAAATGTGACAATAGTTTTCCCAAGCAGCAATACTTCCCTAAACTCATAAAGCTCCTACTCTGACCTTTTAGATTCTTGTTATGTACAGCTTCTGTCTTAATATTGTTAGTCTTTTCTCATACACACATATACTTAAAGTTTTTTAATTGACTACCATATCATTATTATTGTCTATGATTGTGATACATTTTGCTTTGATAAAATGTTAGGTAGGAATAACTTCCATCTTTGTAGTTGACCATTGTAGATTTGAGGCAAGCTTGCCTGTTCCCATTATTTTCCAAGGGAGTGTCTTTAAAAATATTACTTTTGATATAAAGTTCAAATTCTGTATTTTTGTATTGTGAAAACAATAGATGTTCATTTAAGGTTGTATATAGTCCTTTTAATATTTATAATATGTATACAGAACACACTATAATAAATGTAATTTCATGTTATTAAAATGCTTCAGAAACAAAAACACATCTAATTCAGAGTTGTTATAAAACTTTTCTTACAGGTGCAACATGCAAGTAAGCAAATTGCTGTTGATCAACAATACAAAGGAATCATTGATTGTGTAGTCCGCATTCCCAAAGAGCAAGGAATATTGTCCTTCTGGCGTGGAAATTTAGCCAATGTTATTAGATACTTCCCAACTCAGGCACTCAACTTTGCCTTCAAGGATAAGTATAAGCAAGTGTTTTTAGGAGGAGTAGACAAGCACACACAGTTCTGGAGATATTTTGCTGGTAACCTGGCCTCAGGTGGTGCAGCTGGAGCTACCTCCCTCTGTTTTGTCTATCCTTTGGATTTTGCGAGAACCCGCTTGGCAGCTGATGTTGGAAAAGCTGGTGCTGACAGAGAATTCACAGGTCTGGGAAATTGCCTCATCAAAATCTTCAAGTCTGATGGCCTGCGTGGCTTATATCAAGGCTTCAATGTCTCTGTCCAGGGCATAATCATCTATAGAGCTGCTTATTTTGGAATCTATGATACAGCAAAAGGTAAGTAAAATATTCAGGCTGATCTTTGAAATGTTGTTTCTGATTGGTAAAGGTTTATAGTTGCTAGTTGCTAGACTCAATTGCTAAAACATTATCAATTCTGTGGAATGATGTTTGGAAAGACCTTTTAAATTTCAGTGGGCTAAGGTATAGGAAATGAAAGAAAGGGGGGAAAAGGGTAATGAAGGGTAATGGAGATTTGTATTCAAAGAAAAAGGTTGAATGATAGCAGTAGATTATTTGAATGCTTGCATTTAGAGAAGTACATCTACTTTGGGCAGTATTTAATATCTGTTTTTATAAAATGTATCCACAATTCTGCTTAAACAAAGTTACATTTTCATAGTTATTTTATTTGACATAGAAGGCATAGAATTCAAAGATAAAGATAAATAAAAATAGTTAAAATATTCTATTGAACTGAAGAAATCTTGGAGTTCTCTGAATTTGGTAACATCATCAGTATTTATTAATGGTACTGACAATGTTACTGAATTGAATAATGAAACATCTGCAAACAGACAAGTTTGGGGGGCACCAAGGACTCCCCACACAGCTCAACCTTATTCTCTTCTATGTTTTATTAAGGTTAAAAAATGCCTGCTTAAAGAAAGTCTTGTTATCTTTCCTGAAAGCGGAAAGAATAAGACTAAACATGATTTTACTATTACTGCTAACTGTAATTGATGTGGGATGAGCATCTGCTTCTTAAATACTCATTGTGTTGTAAATAAAATAATTGATATTGATCTTACTTTACATACCTTTGGACACTCTTAAACAATGCTTCCAAATCTTAATGCAAAGCAGTCTATATTTTCATGAGAACTTTGTTACATTACAGGTATGTTGCCAGATCCTAGGAATACTCATATTGTGATAAGCTGGATGATTGCACAAACAGTGACTTCAGTAGCTGGCGTGATCTCCTATCCCTTTGACACAGTGCGACGTCGAATGATGATGCAATCTGGGCGTAAAGCAGGTAAATAGAACTTGCTTATAAACTTTGAAGCAGAATGGGGGCTTTTTCCATTCATGCATTGTGTGCTCTGTTTAAATATAAAACCTTGCAACCTCATTCACAGTGGATGTTATTGGTTAAGACTTAAGTATGTATTAAGTCATTCAGCACTAGCAGCTTGACAATCATGTCAGTTGAATTGCACTACAGATGTGCTGCATTCCAGTAAGGAAATTGTACTTTTGGTCCACTATTAAAAATAAATATTGCCTAGCTGAGAGATTTCTCCCCCACAACCTCCTATAATAAATGAATGTAACGGAACTATTTGGTGGGTATGTTACTGAAACTATGAATTCTGGGTAGCTTCCTTATATCTTGTGATCTTGCTATGTTTGTACCTAAGTAATTCAAAAGAATCAATTTATTTTCCCCACAGCTGACATTATGTACTCTGGAACAATTGACTGTTGGAGAAAAATTGCAAGAGATGAAGGTGGAAAGGCTTTCTTCAAAGGCGCATGGTCTAATGTTCTTCGAGGCATGGGTGGTGCATTTGTGCTTGTGTTGTATGATGAGTTAAAGAAAGTCATTTAAACAAAATTTTATTAGAAATGTAAGTTAAATTGACAGATCATGTAGAATAACTTGCCATTATGGACCACTGACTTAAAATAATTCCTACTCAGTCTTATTTATCGGGGCCAGATCATGTTTAAGAAGGACTAGAAACTGCCTTCAGTGAACTGATGTACATTACACAGGCATCAGAACAGACTGTCCAGTTCATTGGATTTGTCTTGTCTTTGGTGTTGGTTATAGTAGCTACAGTTCAGGGTCCAAGGAAGCTGATCTGCTTTTGTCTGAAGATCAGCTAAAAGTTTCAAGTCCTGTCTTAAAAGGACCATAAAAATCATGTTTTGAAAAATGAAAAATATTCGTTTAGCCAATCTTGTTTTTCCACTTGTACTTAAGCACCATGTACTGTTTTTGCACAGCTGAACATCTAGCATTTGTGTTCTCCAATTTGGGGCATTCCGTGAACAATAAACATAATTAACTATGTGTCAAATGTATGACTACTACATCTTGGGTTTTAGGGCCAGCCTCACCATGCAGTAAGATGTGGTTTACTGACCTTGGGCAGCATTTATGCATGTGCATATCCACCTGCACAAAAATGGGGAGTGGGACAAAGTAAGGAAATAACAAGTACGGCAAGACATTTTAAAATGCTATCCTGTGGTGTGTGTGTGGGGGGAGAATACTGTAGTTGGATTATTAGACATAATCACTAGATTTAAAGGCTCTTTAAATAAGATATGCTCATATATGCCTTCAGAAGTGTTCATCATGCTTTTGTGAAAATGGTAAAATAGTTTGAAATAGCAACACATTGTGAATATGGGAAAAACATAGCTTGAAAATAGTAATGCAATGGTTAAGCTGTGTGCATATAGGGATGCTAATAATTATAGATCACCTAAGTAGAAAGAGCTATGGGAAAATGTCATTGTACATGCTTTGTAAACTAGCACATGTATGTGGCATTAGATAAAACACCTGTATGGGTCTTTGATTATTTGAAGAAAGATGTCTTACTCATGTTCCCACTTGGCATTTGTATGCTTTTACACTGTGCTAATGAAAAACAAGTAGCTATTAGAAGTGTTTTTATTGATATTGATGTTTAGAGTATTGAATAAAAAAATAAATATGGTATCAGAAAAAATTAGTAGAATTTTCTACTAATTTAGATTAGTAGGTTTAAAGGATGATGGTACAATGAGAGAATTTGACTTTCCAGTTCCAGAATTTGCAAAAAAAAAAAAAAAAGTGAGGAGAGACATATTGCAGCAGATGTGTATTATCTAGTATTATTTTGAATGGTTCTTTTTTTTACTTTATTGTATTTCTCCTATATACTTGTGGATAAGCACATCTACTAATAAGCCAAACCCAATTTTGAGGTGTGTTTTGGGACCCAAGATAATTACTGTATACGATATTGGTCATTATCAGAAAAAGTTATACAGCCATTAAACTGTGACATATAACAAAATTAGAAGTAAAAATGGGCCTGGAAAATTGAATTAAAAACTGACCAAATTGCTCAAAAGTCCTTTGCGGAGATTGACAGATACGCACACTGACAATCTGTTGTTGCAGCTAAAGTAGTTTTCATTCCAGAATTATATAATGATGTCTTGCAATGCTTTCATAATGTATCCTTTGTGTCCAATTGGTAAGTGAAGTCATATGAACAGTTTTGACTTTCAGTCAAAAATGTGATAGTAGACTTTGTTGGGCAATATGTTGAAATGTATCTCCATTAACAAGGCAATTGGCAGTTGATTTTTACTAAATATTTTAAATATTAAGTACTTTTTTGCTATTCAATAGTAAAAAAGGTCTTCATTGATTTATAAAAACAATATATACAGCCTCATCCCAAAAGTTATTAAATATATCTAGTTCATCAACTCCATCATATAAAAGTATAGTCAAGAGGCTCTGAAAAGTTCAATAAAATCAAGAAAAGAGCAGCCAAAAATGTGTTAATATAAAAATGGTGCAGGAGGAATCCCAGGACTGAACTTCAAGACTCTCAGCCAATCACACATGCATATAGCAGAATTATTGTGTAGTGTTGCACACAGACCTGGGTTGTATCTTTCTAATTTTCTGCAATAAAATTATTTACCTAATTATGTGTTTTCTTGGGAATATGAAACTGGGAAACTTTGATAGTCATGGTTTTGGAGTCGCAACTGATCTTTCAAATATTTAATGTGGGGATTGAAAGCTACAATATTAAATAACACGTTTTTATATAAATTGTCAATAATAGTCTACAATGTACATAAATTCAATAGGTCAATTTATTGCCTAAACAAGTTACCCTATTATGTGAGCCTTTGGTGTCTAAAAGGACGTACATATCACATAATTTCAAGATGTGAGGAGTCTTTGGTACTCTTAGTTAAGTTTTCTTGCAGACATTACTCACACTAGATAAAATCAGTGCTAGTAAGAAGAGGTTTTTGGAGAGCAAATTCCATTCCTTACTAGCACTGATGACATTACCTAGTTTGGGTAATAAGAGGTCTGCAAGAAAAGAACTACACTCAGAGAATACCAAAGATTGAGAATACCACTGAGCTACAAATATCCTCCTTTATTGGTTTTCAAGATGTATCTTGTATTTTTAAATGAAGGAAAGAAAACAAAATAATTTATCAACAATTCAAACATTCCAAGTATTCTACCATTAAGGCGAAGCCTCTCTGAAACGAGCATACATGTTTTCTGTATTTCTATGTTAAAACATTGAAAATGTGAAAGCATACAAAAATATGAGAGTTTTGGAGTAGCGCTGTGGATTCCTTCACAAAACGCTTAGCATGAGGTTCCTACTCTGAACTGTAGTGATATTGGTACTTGGAAAACAACTTTCTTGTGAAACATCTATTCATAATAGAATGTTGCTGTTTTAAACACATACAAAAATGCTCTTGTTGAAAATTTTAAGAACCAAAATATACCTACGTATCTACCTACCTACACACACACACATGCACACAAACTAAACCAAAATACCTGTACCATAAAAAATGTGCCACCCCTGGTTAAGCCAAGTAGAAAACAAATAGTATTTATTGAAAAATGAAAACAGAATAATGGAGAAAAAGAATTTATCCATGAGTGGACTTATCTGTGGGTTTTTATGGTACCTTCCCTTAACGATTGATCTGTTCAAAGTACTAACAGCATTCCACATTCAAGCTCCAAGGGGAGTGGGAAGCAAGTTGGTTCCTTTTGTACAGATGAATCTAGCATTTTATGGCTCCTGGACTACATCCAGCCCTTTGACTGCCCTTGTCTTTTATTCTGAAAGTAACTTTAAATTCAATTTATGTATGTGGGTCCATGCATGCCTATGCACTTTCACATCCTTTTTAGTTCTGCCTTCCACAACCGTCTCAATTTCTCATGTGACACTTTGGAAAAATTAATTGCCCTAGCTCTTGTTTGACAGCCTCTAGTTTAAGATTGTTATCCTAAATCCCACTGTCTGAATTTATGCAAATGCATTCATATTTTGAAAGAAATAGATAAGCATACACATACACAGGTTTTCTTTTACTATTTTATTAGGGTAGGGTTTTTTTTGTAGTGGACAATGCCTCATACTTTTGGGGAGACGGCAGACATTTCTTCAACCACTGTTATTGATTCACCTGCTATAGGTACTGGGGTCACCCACTTCAAAGAAAAGAAAATATCCTTGCATTAATTTTAAAGATTATGATTGTTTAATTCTCATTTCTACATCACAGCTCATTGCAAATACACATAACAAAACCCTTATTTTTCTTTGTATATAAATTAGTCTCTCAACAGAGAACAGGATAGTGAAGTGATGATGAAATACTGGACTGGCACAGTGGAGGCCCATGTTCTAGTCCACCATCAGCCATGAAAACATAGTTCAGCTAATCACTGTTAGCACAACTTATCTCATAGTACAGAAGTTGTGGAGGTTGGAAATAGGAAGAGAGAACAGGTGTGTTTTAGCCATTTGCCAAAAATCTGGGAGATTGAGGACAAAACACTCCTCTTAGGGAGAGCAATTAATTCTATGGCCTTGGGCTCTACAGGAAAACTGTGTGTTAGATAATTGAGTTTCTGGAAGTAGTATATCTTCAAAATAACTTCTGTTAAGGTAGATTCATAATGGAAAAGGTAATTCTTAGATTTTGGTCTTTAGACTTGGTCCTGAGTCATTTTGGATGCTAAAAGTTCATAGCTAAAAGTACATTTCTATTCTCAATTTATATTGCCACAAATAAAAGAATGACAGAACTAATTATTAAGCAGCGTTAAATTATAAAGTAGGTATGAAAAAGTTACTCATGTATAGATAAAATATAGATTATTATATTTAGCATATTTCGAACTCACCTCCACATTCTTCTCATGTTGCCACATTATATCTTTTGGTTGGGGAACTGGGTCAGTAAGTTTTCCCCATATGTGGTTCCTGTAGAAAGAAAGATTTAACAGATAACAGATAATCAGAGTTGGAAGGGACCTTGAAGGTCATCTAGTCCAACCCCCTAATTTGGAGCATTATCCCAGATTCTTCTCTTGAAATAACCCTGTTATAGGTGCCTGAAAATGTGCAACAGCATTGACACAACATACTTCTAAAGTATAAGACTAGTAACTCTTTGTGTTTAATTCTATCAATTCTACAAGATCTGAGAGCAGAACAAAAAACACTATAAAAAACCACTAAGTGCATTGAATCATCTTTTACAAAATTAGATACAGAAACAAGCATAGGGTTCAGATAGATTCTGTTCCATAAAATACAAAAAGCACTCTTTTGAACCTTTATTAACCCAATTGCACCAAAGGGGAAAAAAAGAATAAACAGGCAGTATATTAATTTTAAAAAAGTATCTGAGAACAACAGCCAAGAGGAATTCTTACAGCAGGCAATTGGAAGCCAAAGTTATTCAGAGGAGAAAAAAAAAAGGGGGGGGAATAAGATAAGAAAAAGTGAAGAGAAATCAATGAAATAAAAATAAATAAAAAGTCGAAGATTCAGTATCTGTTACAAAAACAGGCCTAAAGCAGAAGATAGGTTTTTGTTAAGAGATATATCCATAGCAATCAGCAAAACGTACCTTGCAATTTTTTAAAGGTACTTATTGGTTTTGTTCTGCTCTTCTTAGAAGTAAATTTAACCTAATAGTTGTATAACGATGCTTGTATTCAATCTATTTTTATCATTATGTTACATAAACAAGTTGTCTTTATTAAGGTAAAAACATATATTCTTACACCTTCCTCAATATCGGCCTCTTGTCTAGTTGACAATTTGCACTTGAATTTTTTAAAGGACTAGATTTATCAGCTGCTAGGACAAAAAGATGTTAAAGTGAAAACTGTTTTCTGTGTCTACATAACAATGAAAAATAATTAAATTTTACCTTTTACAAATCAAGGTCAAAAGCACAATTATCATTATGGTTCCAAGTGCAGCAAAGATTAAAGGCAGTGTAGGGAACACATCAGGGTCAGTACCTGAAACAATAGGTTTTAGTATTCTTATACTGATTTATTTAAAGAGAGATTCAGACCCACATGATTATATAGCTCAATGAAGAAGCAGGCTTCAGAGCTCTTTTTTTTGGTAGGAAAAAAATAGAAAAAGCCAAAAGATACCCTTGACCCTATAGGTACCATTATTTTAATGTATATTTAATGAAATAATTTTAATATAGCTGTATATAAATATGGTATCATCAGTAGCAGGAAAACAAAACTAATTGAACAAATACTGATTTGTACCTTTCTATTTTGGAAATAATGTACATATTGGCCACTATTTCTTTGTAGGAGAGCAAATTTAGGTGCTCATCTAAGAAAGCCAAGTTAACCCTAAACAGAATTACAAATATGTTTATTTTCATGTTTTCAGTCAACCTGTATCAGGTATTTTATAGAAATTCCTAAAATGATCCTGCAGTGGAGAAAATAAATGTAGCCCTTCAAATCTGCTGTGAACTTGGAAGATAGCAGTAGATTTTTAGTCCAATCACTTTGTCTCAAACTCAAAATGTCATTAAAACTTGAGAGAAAAACTTATAATCCAAAAGGAGAATGTTGAATTTAGCGCCTCCTTATAGCTAATCAGTGGCTTCAGATCAGCAGATGTGACCAGGTAATCAAAATCCAGTTTTTGTGTGTTCATTAAATAGAAATACAATGGCTAATTCAGGAATTTTGGAAGTTGGAAGTCCACAAGTCATAGTTCCTCACCTGTGGCTAGCTGATTACTATCAATTTGGATGTGGAGCTAAGAAAATGACACAACAAATTTTGTTGTTATTCTGCTACCATCAAAGAATGTAAAAAGTATTTTTAAAAATGAAGCTTTGTCTCACACATCCATTATTTTTAGAATAAAGTTGATAAGGAATTAGGAATATTCATGGTGGGAGGAAGAGTAATTCGATTTTATTGAGATAATTTGTATTTAAAAATAAAGTTATGTTTATTATTGTTTACTATGATGGGATACAGCAAATATCTCTAGCATTACAAGTAGTTATTATCAATGAACAAAAGAATATTACATCGCAAATTAAAGATGTCAAAAACAAATGGAATATCATGTTTTTTCATACTTTTTTGTCATTTTTCATGTGTGTGTGTATGTATATTATTGTAATCTGTAAAGATGTTCAAGCCCATTTTACATTGGTCATTAGATCTTTTTTTATTTTTAAAATTAATGTAAAATTTTAAAGTTAGGAGGTAGGGATCCAGATTTTGTTTCAAATGATAATCCTTCTAATCTTTATCAGAATGTGTCAA